CCACGGCCCTCCAGTACCGGCCCTTTTAAACTCTCGGCCATCCAGGGCGTATTTCCCATTTGAAGGGAAAAATATCAAACCCAGCCCTTATAATTTCAATGCCTAAACGAGCCGGCCCGACGGACTCAGCCTGTTTTCCCAGCTCTAGTCCCAGATGGGATGGGTGAGAGAAAGTTCAAGTGTGTATATGAACTCAAGCTCCCATGGGGGAGTAATGGGCCAAGAGAAAGGTGAGCCTTGAGTGCACAACAACAGGCCACTGGGAGGGAAATGCAATTGAAAGCTAGCAATTCCCTTGCTACGCGTGAATTAGATGCGTAGCAGATCATTTTTTGAAAATCAATTTAATTATTTTGCAAAATTATCATTAAAAGCTCTTAAAAAAAAACCTTATTTTTAGGTTCTTAAAGTTGGAAACGTTACTATTTTAATTTTGTGACCTACCGGACATGTCCTGTGAAGTTCGCTTGTTGACAAACATTGGGTGTGACAACTTTCAGGAAGTTCCGCCTCCAACAGAAATGAGCATCGTTTCTGTCATGTCTGTTTGGCAGAACGAGGGGCATGCTTTTTGGTTCTATGTGTTTGTTCGCATCTATATATAGGCATGATGAGGGAGCATGAAATACACTGCACTGTTGTCTCCCTGGTTCTCTTGTGCTCTCGCTCTCCTGTGTTACTTTCCTTCCACAATTCTGCCACCTTGCTATCCTTCAATAAGGATTTGTTTGATCCTGGGAGTGCTGCTTCTTGAGTTGCAGAGGAGTTGCATAATACTCCTCCGGTCCTTAATATAGGACCAAATTGTTGAGTTCGTTTTGGTTCTAAATATAAGACCCATTTATCATATTTATCAGTTTTCTCTAAATTACCCTTATGAATATTCTCTCAACCATAATCAAGTAGAGAGAAAGAGGGGGTATTAAGAAAGATGATTATGGTATTTAGGAAAAATGTGTCACATTTCTATAATTAACTAACTTATCTAACTTCCTTAATCTAATCAAATTAGTTAAATAGGTCTTATATTAAGGATCGGAGGAGTATCTTTTAAAGACAGTGTCTTTGTGAGGTGAGTCGAACCATTGAATTTCTATGCTGGCATTTAACACTTGTGTAATTTTCCTCTTCCTAAGTTGCAGAGCAATTGCAAAATATCTTTTAGGAACAGTGTCCTTGTGAGGTGACTCGAACCATTGAATTTCTGTGCTGGCATTTAACAGTTATGTAATTTTGTCACTCGTATGTTTACGGGTAGCCATGACCATAAGCTCAAAGTCTCCCAAGTCTTTCAAGTCTTCCCCGAAACGAAAGTGTTGAGAAGTTGCCACTATGCCGTTTCCTGCACGGTGTGTCATGACTTCCTTTCTTCCATGGAAGAAAATGAGAGAAAACCTTACCGGCCTACACGTGAAATTCCAACTTTTTAATCTAGATTTTAAATAAAATTTTGAATAAAATTTTTAATTTCAACCAATTGGCTTGGTCAATGTCTGAATATCATGGAGTGGATGTAATGGAAGCTTCAATTTCCGGCTTTAACTTTTGGGTTCCTCTCTGACTAACGTCTTTCTTATATGAGCATAAATTGATGAAATTTCCTGAAACGCGGATTAAACTGATGTACACATGGCAGATGATATCCTCCTGTTTTTTGAAGCATCAGAAAATTAGTGACCAAATTCATTACTGTTTCATAAAAAATCCGTTACTAAAATTAGTGACGGAAATTTTTTCATTTATAAATTTTTGTTGCCAAGGTGAATTTCGTTGCATCGCAAATTTTTATAGTGAATTTTTGACGATATTCCATTGCTGACTAAAGAGATAATTAATTCCAATTCTGTGATGGAATTAACGATGTAACTATTCTATTGTTCGATTGCTTGCCACAAAATTTTTTATCACTAATTGCCATGAAATATTTTCTATCGCAATTCCATTAGAAATATTTTGCTCGTTATTTCTGTCATTAAGCTCTATTTCTATTTCATCACTGTCCTGTTGCTGACTCAAAAAATAACTAATTACAGTTCCATGGCAAAATTAGCTACAAAAGTATTTAGTCATTAATTTCCGTCACTATGTTGCTTCCCACGAAATTTTTCATCAAAAATATCTTTTGACATTGCTGAGTTGAAAATTTCATTATGTAGATCATAATCCTATAATAGTTAATAATATAATTATTTAAATATATTTTTAATTACAAAATATAGTTATATATTTCTAATGTTGGTTCCATGGACGTAATATTAACAACTTTCTTATGAAAATTAATATAACAAAAAAAAAATTGTATCATCTATCAAATATTCGGAAAGATGTAACACAAGATGAAAACCCAGACTGACAAATGGATTTGTCATACATCTCCAGTTATGATCATTAACCTAGCTAAAATTGAAGGGAATTTAAAATTTAAAATTTTAAATGATTAATCACAATATCAAATGAAATTCAAATCAAAACTCGATAAAAATAAATAATTAATAAATCAACATATAGAATAATTAAATTTATTATAATCTCTTCAAATTATTTGATTATATTATATAGAATAACTAAATTTTATAATAATTAAATTTCTGAAAAATTAAGCTTTTGCTAATTATAGAATGGAATTACTTGGTCAAAAATATTGTCGATCTTGATGATATAACTAAAAAATACGGAAGAGATTAAAATCTAACTTCAAAGATAATTTGATTCTATAATCTCTTTTAATAATTAGCAAGAAAATTAGAAGAAGTTATCATATTTCTGTCTAAAATATTATTGAAAAAATTATAATTATAAATTTATAATATTTAAAAATCTACTTTTTAATATATTTGAAGGTCATGAATATAGTGGGGTTAATATCATTTTTACCCTGTAAAATTCACTTTGTTTTGGTCTGGGGTTAATGTCATTTTCACCCTGTAAAGTTCACTTTGTTTTGCTTTTAGTCCTTAAAAGGCTTGAAGCCAATGATTTTGACTTCTGAAATTTGACCTTATTTTAGTTCATCTAAAGATTTTTTGTCCCTGAGACTGTTTCTTGTTCTGAAGGTTTCAAGAACAAAAACTACTGTTTTTCAACTTTCAGAGATCAAAATCAAAATAAAATCAAATTTCAAAAACTAAAAGTAATATTAACCCTAGATAGTATGTTATTTTTCTATTAAAAAATGATTACGAAAATTTCATCAGAATTTCATCACACTAGTTTGATGTTCTTTTTGTAATTTGTAGGATGAGATCAAGATAGTTCAACAAAGTACTCAGTATTTAAGAGAATGTCAGATTTGCCAATTAACACAAATGAGTCAGTCTTAATTTTCAGCAAGAATGTTAGTTCTACTCTAAAACATGTTTTCAGTGCTAACTGGGAATCAAATATTCTGATAAATTGGGAAAATATTTAGGTATTAATGTGGATTATGGGGAGAAAGGTGAGGTTTGTATGCATTTAATGGATAGGGTGTCTACTAAATTCAGGGTTGGGGTGTTCAACTTTTTTTTTTTTTTAACTAGGTACCTATATCTTCCCATTAAAGACAATCCTACTCGAGCCACTATTGAACACTAAGCGTAGGCACTTTTCCTAATGAGAATTCAAATTTTGATTTATCATATTGTGAGAATCTAGCTCCTTTGACTAAACCCAACCATCGTTGTAGTGTTCAACTTCTATCCCCAAACATTAAACCACATTAACACTGATTAAATCTTTCTCTCTTTATTGCTAACTACCAATTAATGTAGAAGAGGAAAAAGGGAGAGGAGGAGACTAGAAAGACTAGAGAGTAGAGAAACATCAAGAAATGAGAGGAAAATTTAACGAGAGAAAGCAACTGCAATAGCCAATATAAATTTTAGGGTTAAGATGAACCCAATACTCAAACTTTTTTTTCGAAGAGCATTTAACACTATAAAGTATTTAATGGTACAATTTTGTCGACAATTAGGTTCTGTCAATGCTGCCAGCGATGATTGAATCCTTCATTATCGATCAACAATGGAAGAGATGGGGTTAAGCACAAAATTTTGTCTTTCACTAACGGACCCTAACCCCCAAGTGCCTCGACAAGATTAGATTGAGCATGGAATTTATGGAGACGGATTCCATCATTTTTTTTTTCCAAGAAGGAGATGGAGTTCAAACATTTTTGAATGAGGGCGCATCCGACACTGACCGAAATATTCTTTTCAGATACATTGTTTCCTAAAATATTTTGCCGTCCAACACCTTTTTTTTTTTTCCAGATTTATCCAGCATCATTAACTATTTCAAAGATAAAGAAATTATGAATCAAGCCAATTGTTAACGTAGTGTTTTGGAAGTTTGTAACGTGAACTAGTTATTTTGGTTATGTAATAAAATGAACTTAGGCTGTAGACCTATGGTCTATTCTGTTTTAGTGGTATGACTCGAGTTGACTAGGGTAAGGACTTTGGTACGTGCTTTTATATGAGTATAAATGTGGGTGTTTAATGTGAAGGGAAGTCTTCAACGAATTTGGGAAATATTAAAATAAAAAATTTATTAAGCTATTACACTTCGTATGGTTGAAATTAATATATCTACAATCTATTAAAAGGTAATACTATAAGGTATGACAGAAGCCACTGGGAGCAAAAGCATTGTTTTAGTGTGTTCCTTGTAAACGGATCCAATAAGCGTCTGAATTTCATATTCTTAGTTTTTCCTCCCCTCACTTTGAAATGCTAGTTTTAAAAATGGACCGTGAGCTCACAAAATAAGATAGACTATAGGGAAGAAGGATTCAATCAATGCTGATATTGTTATATGTGAAGTCACATCATTCATCTGTTAGGATACTAAAATATATAGTAGATGCAACGGGAAACAAACTTGCATTTGTAGACATACAAGGATACATAAAATTGCAAGTAGTAGTGGTAGCTAAGATAGATAAGTAAATACTGACTTGAATGTGGACGCACATTACATATTGATCGATACTTATGCAAAATGCTTCATAATTTTGAAGATTACGAAGCAAGTGGGATTGGAGACAAAGGAATTGGAATATGTTTCAACCCTTCCAACATCAGTATCACATTCTTCATGGAAGGACGTAGGGATAAGTCCTCTTGGACGCACCATAAAGCCACTTTCACCATTCTTTCCAATGTCATCCATTCTACATCTTCATCCACTGATACGAGTTTCTTCAATTCCCCTCTAACAAAGCAATTATATACCCAAGTTGAAAGCATAATCTCCTCTTCTGAAGGAACATTCACATCTATATTCCTTCTACAACATATGATCTCTAACAGCACCACGCCATAGCTATAAATGTCAACTTTTACCGATGTTGATGCATCTTTCTGCCGTTCAGGTGCCACATAGCCACTTGTCAATTCACTGGTACTTCTCATTCTTGAATGTTCTGGCAATGATGATAGCCTTGCAAGGCCAAAATCTGATATTTTTGCTACCCACCTTTCATCTAAGAGAATGTTTTGAGGCTTGATATTGCAGTGGACGATGCAAACTTCACACTCTTCGTGCAGATATAGGACTCCCCTTGCTACATCCAATGCAATTTTGACTCTTTGTTTCCAAGATAGATGCATCTCAGACTTGAACAGAAAATCTGCTAGAGATCCATTACTCATGTATTCATACACAAGGAGCTTTCTTGAATCATCAATACAATAACCAATGAGCTGAACTAGATTTCTGTGATGAGTTCGAGCAATTGCAGTGATTTCAGCTTGAAATTCCCTTTCTCCTTCATCAGCAACAACGTCTAGTTTCTTCACAGCTATCCTTTTGTTATTTCCTTGATTTGTCCCCTTGTAGACCACTCCAAAAGATCCTCTACCAACCTCTTCTGTGAAGTTTCTTGTTGCATTCACCAATTCATCAAAAGAAAATGTTCGTAGACTACAGTCCTCAGTGAATCGCAGATTCGCACTCGTAGATAGCTTTGTGTATGAATGGATCTTGCGCCTGTAAACAAAGATGATGGAGGTGGCAATAGTGAAGCAAAGGAATGAAATTGAACCCAGAGTGAGGAGCAAAGTCAAAATAAGATCTTTCTTGTCATCAACATGAATCATCGCTGGCTTCTCTGGATTTGGAATAATGGCGTTTCCTGAAGGTGACTTGATGAATACCGTGTTTGATGAATTTTGCTTAATTCTACCAAATCTAAGGGGAAGCTTAAACTTATTGCAGTTACCTCTTTCATATAACACTGCTGCACAGTCACAGTCTTCCTGGCAAGCCTGCCTGCAAGTTTCCATTTTCATGGGCTCAACCCAATAAGGAACAATGTTCTTCAGCTGCAAATCTTGCAAGGGATCAAAATTGTAGAGCATCCTTGGATATTCACTGGTTTTACATTCATATTTGTGGGTTTGTTCACAGTCCAAGAACATGCTTTGATTCCCATTGATGGGCGTGAATCCAGGATAACAATGACATACACCTTTGCCAGCGACCGAGGAGCAATAACTGTTGAAGCCACAAAAACCCCTTACATCACATTGATCAAAAAGATTCTGCCACACAATATGAACACTTGATTTGGCATTCCTCTCAAATCTGTGCACGTACAGTCTAAATATCCCATCCACATCAAGTGTTGCACGGTAGATTAGGCTTGTGTTCTGCCCATGAACGTTGCTATGGCCCAGAACCCGTAAGGTCCTATTCCTATCATCAACCAGGCAAAGAAAGCCTTTTACATTAAGGGTAAGTAAGACATACCCAAAAATCTGTGTGCCATAGTAAGCATCATCCATCCTTCGATTGTTCACAGGGTAGGCCACAAGATTCCCATCATCCTGCATGACGAGAATGAAGTTTCCGCTCGAGTGGTCGGATTTGGACAAAGAAGAGACCAGATTTTGCCCAGAAGATAGAATTTGACCTCCTAATATGGTATCGGTGTGTAGATCGAAGCTTTGCCAGATAACACTTTGATTTTTATCGTAAATCACGAAATTGCCTGAATCAAACATAGAAGCTGAATATGCAGGCACTTTAAACGACGAATTAGTAATGGGTGTTCTTTTCCCTGTCTCGTTACGAAGCAGAACTGGGCCATCTTTATCTAAGACAATCACTGATGTAGATGATAGTGGTGGACTGTTGCGATAAGCCGTCCATACAATTGTATTCTCAGGCTCATCCCTAAGCCATATCCCAACAGCAAAGCCTTTACCTTGTGGATAAAAGCCGAAGGCGAAATGACCAGAGCTTGACACCCATGAAGTAGAATTTGATTTTGGGGAGAGCCAAGAGCCCAGACGAATGATGGTGGCATCATTCTTTTCAGCTATAGCTTGGTTTGCACGTAGCACTGCGAAGAGCAAGAACAGAGTTAGGGAAGCCGCCATGTGGTATAAGTGGAAGGAAGGGAAAATAGACGGATCGAAGCTCAGAAGAAACGAAAGAAATTAAATTAATTCGCTATTCAGCTGCAAGTTGAAAGAGAGACATCACCGGCGTAATTATGCAAACGAGTGAAGACTTTGACTTGCTTCAAGCATTGACCTGTGCTTCTATTCTAAAGCAAAGCAAAGGAAATTTACGGAATCAGGCCTTAAAAAAAAAAAAAAAAGTGATTTAACAAAAAAGGGGGGGGAAGATAAAGAGCGAGTGAAGACTTGACTTGCTTCCTGCATATCGCGTGTGCTTCTACACCAATAGTAAATTTCTAGGAAGAAACGATCGGAAGCAGGAGGGCACCCTCTTCCCTCCTCAGTCCTTCCGGCACTGGCACAAACAGATCACTTGAAGGAGGAATTCTTAAGCACTGGGAGTACCAACTAATCTAAACACTGCCCAATAGAAACATTCCAGCTCATATAATTTTAATCCACGTCAGCGTACTCGTTTTTATTTATTTGTCGTTTTAAAAAGTAAAATTGCCTTAGGAACGTTGATTTCCGTTATTGCCCCCTTTCTCTCTCTCTCTCTCTCTCAAACTGTCCCTTCTCCCATCTCCGTCCCTTTTTTGCAGATATCGCCGGTGGAGATTTCGAAACTGAGGAGAGAAAGGAAGAAGGGTTGGAAAATCATCAAGTTTGAGTTTGATTTGTCTAGGAAGATTTAAGATCTGCAGCTGGGAAACTTTGGCTATCGTCTTTGAATACCATGTGGATGGGAAAAGAGCACAGACCATCAGCGATGGTGAGCAAAATCTTCTTCATCTCGTTTTGAACTCGCCCTCGTCGACGGTGCCGCTGCCGTCGACGACGAACTTCTCAAAGATGGAGTTGTAGAGATGAGACTAAAGAAGTTTTAACTTGAGAAACCGAGACTGTGATTCCTCTTGTATTACTACTGCCCTTGCGAGCGACGTCGTGGTCCGACGAGAAAATGAGAGGAGGAAGGGAGTTTTTTTTTTTCCAAACAAGAAATAATGGAAATGAATTGGATGACATGTAGATTAAAATCATATCAGCTGGCTCATTTCTATAGGACGGAGTTTAAATTACTTGGCACTCTCAGAGTATCTAAGAATTATAAAGCTGCTATTGGAACCCAGTTTTTCCAAAGTAATCAGTACATAAATCGAGATACTAGGCCACGCTAGCATGGTCGGTTTGGGATCGGTTATCCTTTACTTCCTTACCATTCTCTCCTCCTTAGTAAAAAATTATAGCGTTTTATTAACGGGGCTGAATCTAGTAGACGAGACTAGTCTCTCGTAACGTAACGAATCGAGATTCAAATTCTTACTGAGAGAGATGCTCACATTTAGTACCCGACAGTGCTTCAAATAAGATTGCCTATAATAAGGGGATACCTATATTTTAGTTTAAAAAAAAAAGCACACAGTATTCTAAAATAATTTTAGGATATGTGTGTTATTATTAGGAAAATAACGTAGAGTATTAGGTACACTAAAAATTAATTTAAGATACCAGATGCTATTGAAAAAATAGTATAGAGTGCAACTTGCCAGATACTGGAATACTGCTGAAAAATCTTTTTGGATGTCAGGTGCACTAAAAATTATTTTAAGATACCTGATCTTACTAAAAAGGATTTCAGAGTGAAAGATGTTACTGCATACTACTGAAAAAATATGGCAAATCCAACTTATTAGATATTACATGCTACTAAAAAAATATCTTAAAGTGTTAGATCTACTAAAAATCATTTTAGAATACTCTTCAAAGTGATGTATATTGGTTTGAAAAATCAAAAAGTGCCCAGTCTCCACTTTTTCACCCAAAACGCCGTAGTTAAGAATAGAGAAGAGAACGCCAAGAGAAGAACGGGAAAGCCGGCCTGTTGGTTCATATTAAATAGCATTTTGCAAAAGAATGATGGTGGTGATTAGGGATGAGTGGCATCCAAAGCAACTGGTACCCCAACTGCTTCTTCCAGTCCTTTGTACAAGAACCTGAAATTTGAATTACCCAGGTCTTTTTTTATAATATCCCACTTATAGTTGTCTAAATATTTAATATTCTTAATATAAAACCTATTTAACTAATTTGATTAGATTAAAAAAGTTAGGTAAGTTAGTTAATTGTAAAAAATATAACATGTTTTTTTGCAAAATACCGTAATCATCTTTCTTAATATTCTACTTCTCTCTTCTATTTAATTATGGTTAAGGGAATATTCATAGAGATAATTTAGGAAAAATTAATAAATATGAAAAATATGTTTTATATTTAGGACCAAAATCAACTCAACAATTAGGTCCTATATTAGGATCGGAGGAGTACGTTTTTATCATTTTTCCTCCTCATTAATTGTATACATTGCATTAATTAAAAGTTTTTACTACATCTCTTTCATACTTGCTCTCTCTTACTTGCCCCTTATAAATAAGAGCAAGTTTGGGGAACAAAAAAGTTAATCTTTTACTTATTTATTATTTTTAACTAATTTTAATTACTTTTTAAATTGTGTAATTTAATTATCAAGCTCCTGTAATAAAAAGGGAGGGGGTACTTTCTCGCCAAACTCAGCTTGTTTGTAAAAGTAAAGAACATGCTTGGCAAGAATATTCGAAATAGGATAATTATAAGTTTGCTAGTTTGTTTTTTTGTGCTCATCATTTTCACTTGCTGAATATTCATTTGGGGGGAAAAAATCTATACTTTCCAATTTTTTTTTCTCTGGGAAATGCACTAAGACATTGAGTAGACATGTTTTATAACAAAAGCAGATGTAAGATCGAAACAAGATTGTACACACTTGTATGTCAGTATGTGGATAGTATAAGATAATTAAATATTTACTTAATAATTTTACAAAAATAATAGTATTTGAAAGAAGTAAATTAAAACCGTATGAACTATTATAAATAGGGCTCTTGGTTCAAATGATTTTCATTCCTTCTTCTTCCAAAAGGATTTGATCAAACAGGATATTTGTGATATGGTTTGGCGCTTCTGGAACTCAGAGCACATTATTAATTATTTCTTTCAACAAAGCTATTGTTGTGCTCATCCCTAAGACAGCCTCACCTCAGAATAGCAGAGATTTTAGACCCATCAGCCTATGCAATGTAGCATACAAAATCATATCGGAGGTTTTCTGTAACAGATTATTGCTCCAAACCAAAGTGCTTTTCTGAAAGGAAGATTAATTTCTGATAATTTATGATTGCATCTGACATCCTTAACCGAATTCACTTAGCAAGAGTTGGGCGAAGAAAATTAGCTGCTCTCAAAGTTGATTTTTGTAAGGACTTTGGCAGACTCTCTTGGTCCTTTATTGAAGCTGCTATAATTAAAATGAATTTACCGGCTAAGTTGATTCAACGGATTCAACAATGTACCTCCACAGTCCACTATCAGATTCTCTTCAGTGGACGGTTATCACAGGCCATTTTCCCTAAATTTGGAGTTAGACAAGGAGATCCTCTATCCCCTTATCTTTACGTCCTGGCTGGTAACAATGTCTCCTGTCCTATACTTTCTATTGAATCTAAGAAAGAATGGAATGAAATTAAAATTTGCAATGCGGCTTCTCCACTTTCACATTTATTTTAAGCGGATGATTCAATCCTGTTCTTCTAAGCTAATGTTGGAAATTGTAATCCTGCTCAGAATGCTTTGCGTAGATTCTGTAAATGGTCATACCATAGTATTAATAGGAATAAATCGACTCGAGTCTGTAGCCTAAACCTTTCTCATGCACAAAAATTAGAATTATCTCATACCCTGAAAGTACATTTCTCCCAAAGGGGTGGAACCTGGATAAAAGGATCAAGTCTTGGCAGGGAAAATTAGACCAAGAAACCTTTTCATTAAGGCCCTCCTTGTGAAGCAATTATTTTGAATCCTAACTGCCCCAGATGGTTCTCTTTTAGCCTCTACGTTGCAGGTTAAATACCTTGATTTGTCTTCCGCTGAACTTTTCAAATTTCCCGATAACTCTTCTTGAATTTGTAGAGGTATAGCCAAGAATTCTGACTGACTCAAAGGGAAATTAAATTGGGCTATAGGCGACGGTACTATGACTCCTTTTAATCACCACCTATGGTGGCCAATGCAAGTTAGGATGGACACTCCTTCTCTCGATCAGAAAGTGTCTGACCTTTTAATTCATACCAATACTTCTTAGAAACCAATTTGCTGGAACAAGCCAGTTGTCTTTGATCTTTAGTCTCCCACAGTCATTAGCCATATCTGCAGTATCCCTTTATCTCTGGCTAACTCCCCTGATAAGTTGTTCTGGGAAGGAAACCTTTCGGGAAATTATACTCTCATGGATGGATACAAATCCCTCTTGATTTTCCTGCAGATCAATCACTTGAAGACAACTTTTGGAAATTTCTTTGGGCTCTTTCTTTACCATGAGCAATTGTTGTTTATCCGGAAGCTTCTTAACAAAGCCTTACTAGTTACTTAGATTCTGAGGCATCACCACATTCAAGCCTCTGGCTTTTTGACAATTTGGATGTACGGTTGAAGAACATTTGGATCACTAATTTATCACCTGCCCTTTTACTAGAGCAGTTTGGTATGGAGCCTTTTCTATCCAAGTTGATTCCTTCTTTTGAAGACTTCAAAATTTGGCTAGACGCTCTTTTAATGAAGCTCTTTGAGAGTCAAAATTTTCCAATGGTGAAGTGTATTATTATCCTCTGAAATATAATATGGGTTAAGAGGAATCTCATTCTGCATCAAGGCTGTTCAACTAATCCTCTGGGTCATTGAGGAAATTAGATTTTGCTTGAGCTTCACAAATAGGGCTTTCTGCAGCTATGATGGACTCTCTCAGTCGAACAACTCTTGCCTTACAACCAGAGAATTTACAACTGCTGGTTTTCACCATTGTAACATCATTCTCCAGAAATTAAAAAAAAAAAAATGTAAGGGAACTCATTGCTTTGGTATCCTTTTATATGGAAATCATGTGTGTT